GGATATTCTTGGCGTTTTTGCAGTGGCAGGCTCCCAGATGAAAATGCGACACTTGCAAGCTACACCTTCTGTGGTTTTTTGCGGTGGCAGGTTCCCAGATGAGTGCGTCAGTTGAAAGCTGAACCTTCTTAACCTTTTTTTTTGCGGTGGCAGACTCCCAGGTGAAAATGTGCATTTTTGCGGTGGCAGGCCCCCAGATGAGTGCAGCAGTTGAAAGCTGGACCTTTTTTTTTCCCCCGGCGACAGGTTGTAACATTCGCTTCGGGGTCCTGGTATGAGGTTGTGGTATGAGGCAGGCCCTTGCGTAGCAACGTAGTGCGTATAGAGTTGTTTCTTCTACCAAAACAAGTTCCTGTTGCTGCAGCTGCGATAATGTCTAACCTGATCTGTTCTTGTTGTTTCTGGCAAGCAGAACTGGCGATGAGGGATGAATTTAACGTTGGGCTAAGGTGCTTAAACGTTCAAGATACCACAAAAGGTTTTGGTTCATTTTGACAGCAGAACGGTGGTCATGGAAGTCCAAAACATCTAAGGAGTGTGTAACAACTCACCTGCCGAATGGACGCAAGGGTTGCGATGCAGCTTTTGGCGTGAGCCTCAAATTTTTGTGGAAGAAGTGGGCCGTTTTTGGCAAGCAGAACTGGCGATGAGGGATGAATTTAACGTTGGGCTAAGGTGCTTAAACGTTCAAGATACCACAAAAGGTTTTGGTTCATTTTGACAGCAGAACGGTGGTCATGGAAGTCCAAAACATCTAAGGAGTGTGTAACAACTCACCTGCCGAATGGACGCCAGGGTTGCGATGCAGCTTTTGGCGTGAGCTTCAAATTTTTGTGGAAGAAGTGGGCCGTTTTTGGCAAGCAGAACTGGCGATGAGGGATGAATTTAACGTTGGGCTAAGGTGCTTAAATGTTCCAGATGCCACAACAGGTTTTTCTTCATTTTGACAGCAGAACGGTGGTCATGGAAGTCCAATACATCTAAGGAGCGTGTAACAACTCACCTGCCGAATGGACGCCAGGGTTGCGATGCAGCTTTTGGCGTGCGCCTGAGCGAACCAGTTTATACATCTGAGTTTGCATGTCTCTTCATGATTGCGTAGTACGACGCGCGTTTGTGGAAGGCCCAGTACTGTTTGTTGGCAGGTGCAGCTGCTTAGTTGAAAGAAAAGCCGCAGGGGATCCCCTTGAACCCCTGCAGTCAATGTTGACATGCCGCGGACTTTTCAGAATAAATGTTTGATGTCTATCGAGGAGACCTCCCAGAATGAAAGCCTTTCATGTCTATTGATGTCTGTTCGATCGGTATTCAAACATTGACAAATTTCAACATTGACCGCAGGGGTCGCAGGGGATTGGGTGTGGTCACATTTTTCTAGGGGTCTCTAGCAAACGAAATGAGAACGCAGAAATAGATAAGATGGGACGGAATTAATTACATTAGCAGAAAAAGCGACTAGAAGAATGTAGACGTAGCTGACACAGCATGCTGTGGTGAATTGTGGCCCCTGATACCGTCAGTGCGCACGATGCTTCAGTACAGATCTTACGTCGATTTCGTGCAGAGCACAGCTGCCCACACCACAAGATTAAAAGGCGTGCTGTGTGCCGTCATGCTTTTGGGTTCTCTGGCCCACCTTGCTTTTGTCACTTTAACGCTGACTGCAGGGGTTGCAGGGGACTTGGACTGGCCCAGATGTTATCATTGTACTGAGGAGCTGGAATGAAACATTTCGCCTGCAGCCATCCTGTGAAGGCTCCACCGACCTTTGCATGCTCTTCTAGAATATCCTTCACTATTTCCGATTGGCTACATTGTCTTTGCCGTGATGGGGCCATTTTTGGAATCGAAATATAGGCCCTATTTAGGGGTTCATGGTTTGTTCTGTGATAGTAACGCAAGTGGCCGGAAACAAATTCTGCGGCCTTGCGATGACAAAGCCAGCGCCTTCAAACCACAATAGCTGCACCGCCCAGGAGACGATGTCCTCATTAAACCTCCAGTCATCGAGCCAAACCACTCTGGCCTTTTCCAAGCCAAGCAAAGGGAAGGCACTCTTTGGAGGGGTCACGAAAACATTGTCTTCACCAAAGACCAAGGGCAAGGGGCGAAATAAAAAGCTTTTACCTTCATTACCTTCAAACCCTGCGTGGCACACAAGGTTGCCTTTCGAACGTCCTGCTAAAAGCGAATCCGTCACCGCCTTGCACCACTGGACTGGATTGTGTCCATTTTGGCAAAGGATGTCTCGAGCAAAGTCGGCCCATTTGTCCGCCACAAGTGCACTCAGCACTGCAAGCTCCTGCCAAGATGTCCATGCGGCTCTGCGCAGCTGCTGCAACCAAGTCCTCAACCTTCTCAGTCTTCCATGACTTGGCAACAATGGCAGGAAGCTTGTCCCAGTTGGCAAAATAAAACTCAACCAACGCTCGGCCACCACTGCGCTTGGCATACGACATCAACTTTTCTCCGCACACTTCATCTGGCAGGATGTTTTCCCGGATAATGATGGGCCACAAATCCACTTCCCGGACACGCTGCTCTCCCTTGCCTTTGGCTGCACGTTTGCGCCTTTGCTCCTCACGATGCACTTCCAAATTCTTGGCGCTCACATACCCTCTACTGGCCTCAGACAAAGGTGGGTGAGTGGAAGGCCACAACTCAGGTGCGGGATCCAATTCTTCCACGACTTTTGTGGGCGAAGGCAAGCAGTAGTAGGCAATGCAGCCAGCATACCCGTCTGTTTTGCCAGACTAATGACTGGCTAGGCCATGCGCAGCCAGCAGTTGGCGCTTCAAGGCCACGAAGCGGAAAGACTTGTCGGCTAACACTGCCACATGGTAATGAACTTCATCTGATGCGTGGCGCTCCTGAAAGACTGCCATGTGTGTGAAGGTCAGAGGCAGCTCTCTGCTTGATTGGGTGGAAGCAAGAGCTCCTAAGAAAAAGTCTTTGACTTGCGCACGGGTGTAAGTCCCAGGAGCCACCAACTTTTGTCCATCTGAATTCTCTTCCTTGTCTGTGTGAGACAACGTCACTAAGTAAGCTCTCCTCGGCTTGTTGCACTCAGCACCAAGCTCTTCACTACAGCTGGACGGTTGGCTTGCTTTCTTAGCTTCAAGAGATTCCACCACTTCTTTCAGCAAGGCGCTGAACTCATCCTTTCGAGCCTCCAGCCCATCAGGCTCCATCCCGCAAGCAACTGCAACCTTGGCTCTACACTCTTTGATGCTACACTGGTGCAAGTCAAGGTCCCTCACAAGTCGCCCTGCTACCTCCTTCAGTGTGTCTGCATCTGGCACATCTTGCGTCACTTCTGGCAACGCCGCAGCAGGCTCCACAGGATCCATGCTTTCCAAGCTAACTGTAAGACTGTAAGGCAACTGACTTCTACAAACCCAAAGCTTCAACAAGAATCTTCTAGCAATTTACGTTGGTTTGAGCCAGGCAAAGGAAACGAAAACACAACACTTCGAAGTCCACCTAAAATACTTCAAACAGAAGCGTGATGCTACCACGACGTGAATCCAGCAGCGGCAACCGCGCCTTGTAGATAAGCCTTCTCATGTCAAGCGGGCCCACACCTAAGCCACCCACCGTGATCATATATGTCAGCAACACTGTCAAAGAACTCGTGTAGAACAGTGAAACATGGGCACAAGGGAAGGTTCCAATCCACTGCCAATGTAGAAACACACATACAGAATTTGTTCAACGACACGTCGTGTGAAACATTGAAAACTGAAACTAGATACAAAGTACAAAGACGTCTGCTTATCTTTGGAAAAGGTCTTCAACGGAAGGCAAAGCTGAGTGCGGCGTATGTGTTAGGAAACGATGCTCCAGAGAATGCAAAGCCACGGCCAGGCGTACTAACTGCGCAATCTGAGCTGAGGTCGGAACAAGCCCACTCAATTGTGTCAAATTGTTTCAGCGTTTGCAGCAAGATGCCGGCACTCTTTGAAAAAGATGATGGCCTTATTGTGTAGGGTCGGTTAGTTCTAGCTGTGCAGACTTTTCTGCACGAGCGAGCGCCGCGTCTCCGTAATGTAATCGCACTCCCCTCTCTTGTTGTCCTTGCGTCTCTGTCGCCAAAACACCAAATTGTTGTTTGATGTTTTTTCTACAAACCTCAAACAACCTTCTTTGAAACAAACACATTTGCAATGAATGTCTTTCAGTTGCTGTGTTGTGTTTCTGTTTTGAGACAAACTGTGGTGCATGTTTTGTACCTGTTTGGTATCTTAAATTTTTAATATTGAATCCACATCAATTTATGTTGTGTCCGCATCCATGCATTCAGCCTGTAACTCGATTTTGGTTGAGGTTGTTGTCACCATGGAGTACTCATGGTTGATTACTGCCCGCTCCGATTACCCTTGTTTGCAACAAGAGCCAATACGGGACGGAAGGTGATGGGGGGCGGGTATAATAATTCTTTTCTGAGTCTTTTCTGGGTGTTCCCAACAGTCCCTGTTGCTGTCTGCAAGAACACTGTGCAATGCAACCAAGTCTGCAACTTTGAATGGATCAGCCTGACGCTTGGGTCCAGTGTTACGGCAACCTGACACACCAAGACATCGCCTGGATGACGTCAAGGCCTCAAGTTCCTGCACACCTACAACATGCTGCACAAAAATCAAAGACTGTATGATGCTCTGAATCCGAGATGCAGGGGCTCCGGCCACTCTGAGTCCATCCAAAAAAGCATAGAAATCTGTTTCAGTACCAGGAAATGCAATTCGACGTGTTTCCAAGTCTGATGCAAACCTCAAGAATGAATGCACACGTTTTCGAAGAGTGCTGGGCGCCTTCTTCCAAAAAACATCTCTGAGCATGCGCAATCTCTCTGCAGTGGTCTTCAAATGCAAAAGTTGTTGAACAACAACAATGTGACAAGGCAAAAGAATCAAAACATCATGCCAACGACGTAACGCCACTTGAAAGTCAGCTTCACGTTTGTCTTTTCAAGTCTGTTCACCACCTGAACGCACAATGTGATGCCACGACAAGAGCTCGACACTCGAAGCTTCTTGGCAGGCGCCGGTTCAGCACGGGGAGCACACGGCACAAAGAGTGGAGGATCTGCAACTGTCCAATCTTGAATACCATTAGGATCAGTAGGACCCTCGAAAAAAGTCTTCCAGAATCCATGTTCCCACGGCAGTTTCAAAGACGTGTCAGCAGGGCACTCCGCCCAAATGCGATGAAAATCCATCAAATGCCCCCCATGCTAATTGGTTTCCTCATAAAAATTTGAGGTCCCACCCTCCCACACCTTGAAAGAGTATGTTGTAACCATTCATCCTGATTTAAATTTTCCTCCTCGCAATATCCTCTCGAAAATTAGAAGCTTCGAAACATGGTGCGTTTTAGAGCCATCCTTTGTTTGGGGTACCTATCCAGTGTCAACGTCTGCAATTTTATAGACGACCTTGGTGTCAGCGATTCTATAGAGATTTCATGGCTCCGCTACCATGTGAAAACACTCGTTGCATGGCTGGTATGATCCTATTGACAGTTTATTCACGCAGTCGATGGAATGATTTGCAACAGGCAGAGTCCATGTTGTTGGATTGTGGTCCAGACGGAGTGGTTGCCTATGCAGAGCTGAAGATAGCCGATCATAAAACGAAACATTCATCTGCCTTCAGAAATTGCTTCTTACATGCTTGTGCTCCGGCTGCAGGTGTCGTGGATGACGACTGGATCAACACATGGGCACAAGTCCGCTCTGAGCTTGGGATTTCATTTGAGGCTGGCCATCCGACCATGCCAGCACCTTTGGAGGACGGTGGAATCAGCATGAGGCCCCTCAGCAGTGAAGAGATGAAACATTGGACTTCCATTCTTCTGCGATCAGTTCAGGTTGAGACTGAGGGACGTAGGCTGACGTCACACAGTTGCAATTGCACGTTGCTGTCATGGTGCTCGAAAAGAGGATTGCCCTGGGAGGATCGGCTTGTGCTTGGAGGACACACTTCAGCAGTGCGATCTGCTCTGGTGTATGCGCGTGATGGCTTGGGCCGTCCGTTGCGCATGCTTGAGAAACTGCTGATGGAGGTGCGGATGGGCAGGTTTTTGCCCGATGCTACAAGGAGTGGTAGATTTCCAGGGCCCCTTGCAACGGCAGTGCAGTGTGATGATGGGGACCAAAGTGAGTTCTCATACGTCCCAAGTTTTGGAGATGCTGAAGTTGATGACGTCCCAGACAGCCACAAAACCCATGTTGACCTTGTGAAACATGCAGAGCTACTGGACACAGGTGCAGCGCGATCCGTTGCAGGTGTGGCATGCAAAGTGGAATCTGCCGAGTCAGTATGGGACTTGGTGGGCAGCAATGAGGTGATCGACTTGGACACTTGCTCAGATGAAAGTGGATGCTCAGTCGCGACGACCTCGTCCAGCTCAGATGAGGGAGCTGCTGAACTTAGCAGCGCCAGGAGACCAGTGCATCCTCCTACAGTGCCAGGTCAGTTGAAATTGATCCAACATAAAAAGCTCAAGACGTTGCACCTGATGGAACAGCAGAATCAGAGGGTGATGCTTTGTGGAAGAATGGCTGAGACCAGCCGCTATGAAAACGTTCAAGAAACAAGGTTTGACACTCCGTGTTGCCACACGTGCTGGCGGAAGATTCCGGAGTATGCTTGATGTCATGGCGAGCGCTTGAAAATGATCTTTGTCAGCTTCAGTTGTTCAGTGCAATCCTGTACATTTTTATTCAGATGTCAGTTCACTTGCCAATCAATTTTTTGGTGCATCAATGTGAGCTTCATTTGAATCCAGTGCATTTCAGAAACTTTTCATCGATGCAAATCATAACATGTCACAGCTTGAGAGGAGTGGCGTTCTCAGGTATGAGAATCATGTCGCACCTTAACTCAGATTTTAATGTGACTTTGTTGATTTGCTTCGCAAGTGGTTGCCAGGGTATCTTGTCAAAAACTCATTTGACCACCCTGCACTTGGAGTCAGCGGCCAATCCATGGCAGGTTATTTCATGTGCGCCCTGGGCTCAATCATCCACCAAACAGATGGTGGGAAACATGAACGGAGACATCGAATGGCCCATGAAACGTCAAGTGAAATCATGTTTACTTGAGATCAGCTTTTATTCAATTTTTAAAGCGACCCTGATGAGGGACACTATTCCTTTTCAGCATGAAACCATACAATCAGATCCATGCGTTCAACTTGACAGGCATGCATATTTAGCCACTCACTTTTCCTGAGGAACTTAGAAACTGTCAAGGATCAACTTGCAGAGTGTCAACAGGAATCCATTGATAGTGAGCGCCGGTGCAGATCCTTAAAGGAATTGCTGTGCTGCCATGTCATTGATAGATTCAGAAGCTGCTTTTCAGAAACGATGTGATGAGTTGATGGACGGACTTCATGACCTGTTCACCCACCTTCAGATATTGACTTTTCCGAGTTTGGCGTTTACAGTTGGCACGCCGCAACAGGCGGTCTCAGAACATGACATGCAAAGATTTGCAGATCGAGTTATCCAAGGTCCTGCATCCCTGGCCGAAGTTTCAGTTGTTAGGCGTATTCACTTCGAAGCCCAGACACTGGTGATGTCAGATCTCAGGAAACAGGCGGTTGCAGGGGACACTTCTGAACCATCGAAGTCCTTGCCTTACGTCGAGAAGAGGCGACGTCTGGAGGCCCAACAAGCTAGGATCACTGGCATTTCACACATGCATGAGCAAAGGGCATCGCATGGCCTCATTGATTTGTGTTTTCACATTGTTGAGTCGGGTGCCTTGCTGTATGTGGCACCGTCCAAGTGCAGTTCGAGGGACTCTGAGATCCAAACGGATGCAAAGACTAGACAGAAACAGTTGTTGACCCTTGAACAAGGGACGTTGAAGGCCGTGTCGGCCGATTCATTGCCAACGGTTGACATCGGCACGGAAATGAAATTGATGTATGCACTGCAGCGTCGTGGATTGGCATTTGATCTTGTAGGATTGATGTCGTTTGATGCCCATTCTGAGTGGGTGAACAAGCTCTTCAGGGCACTTATGGCCGACACCCCTGCGAACTTCCAGGCGCTCAGTTTGCAACAAATCATCCGTGCAGACCAAGAAATGTTTCTTTTATTGGCTTCAGAATATCATGGACCACTCAAGTCACTGATGGTGGATGGTGAGCCTCCATTGGATGCGCAGCTTCGTGTTTACATGACAGATCCTAGGGTCAACATGTACCTGGTCCCTACTCCGGCTAGCCAAAAAAGATCGGCTCCTGTGACAAGCGCTGGAGACAAGCCGTCCTCGCCTCCTACGAAGAAACCACGTCAGAGCCCAAAAGCACCAGCCCAGTTACCGGCCGAACTGTCGGGATTTCACACCAAGACTGCCGACAACAAGCCGCTGTGTTGGAACTTCAATTTGAGCAAGGGCTGTGCGAATGCCACCAAGCGGGGGCGCTGTCGTTTTGGTTTTCATACATGCATGAAGTGCTTGAAAGGTGGACATGGGGCACACAAGTGCCATAGCAGTTGACAGGAGGAGGTTGCATCTCCACAACGTGATGGTGGTAATTCAGGAACACCTGTAGCCCCTGGGATCTCAGTGACTCCAGCGCAAGAAGTTGTGGCTGATGGAAGTTTTGTGCATGACACAGCAGCTGAAGCGTTGCGATCTAGCAGTGACAATTCAAGATGCATCATTTTAGAAATTTTTGCTGGCAGTGCTCGTCTTTCCAAGGCTTGCAGGAAACTTGGATTTGAGGCTGTAGCTGTTGACCAAACGAAGGATAGGTCTGAGCAATTTCCAATTTTTCAAATTGATGTAACAGACTCCCAAAGCTTGAGTGCCTTAGAGAGTTTCATCGATGTAGAGAAAGATGCAATTTTACATGCGCATTTTGCGCCATCATGCGGAACGGCGTCTCGAGCCAGGGGACGTCCAATACCTGGCGAACATCCCAAAGCCGGGCCTCAACCACTCAGGTCCGAACGTTATCCTGACGGATTGCCAGGCCTCAGTTTTCATGACCAAGAGCGGGTAGACAAAGCAAATGGTAGCTACAGTGCAACGGTACATTTGATTCTCAAACTGATTGCACATGGCATCTCAGTCAGCATCGAAAACCCCAAAAATTCCTTTTTCTGGAAACACTCAGATGTTGCAAAGCTTTTGGAATCATTTGGTGCTCGACATTTTTCGATTTTTCATCACTGTATGCATGGCGGCAAACGAGACAAGCAAACTGCATGGTGGAGCTGGAACCCTAGAGATGTTGAGAAAGACCTTTTTAGTTCTCTTGCGCTGCAATGCGATGGAAATCACAAACATGAACCCTGGCGTCCCTACAAAGATGCCCATGGCCAAACTGTTTTTCCTACAAAAGAGGAAGCTGCATATCCGCAGTTGTTGTGTGATCGCATTGCGTGCATTCTCAAGGACGAAGCTCTTCGTCGTGGCTTTACTTTTTCTGAAGACCTGGAACAACAAATCTTGGAGGTGCCAAACGTTGCCAGCCGACAGTTGTTTACAACGCAGCCCAAAGGGCAGAAGTTGAGACCGCTGGTCTCTGAATATGGAGGGTATGTGACACTTCTTGCATCGACATCAAACGACTCAGAAGTGCAGAGTTTTGTACAAAAACTCCCCAAAGGAGCCAAAGTTTGTCATCGTATTCTTTTTCCAGGGGGTGTCGCTCGAGATGACATGGAGAGCAAATATGAGGAAGTTTTTCAAACTGAATCATGGAGGACTGGTGAACCATGTGAACTCTTGCAAATTGGCATCCCACGTGAACCTGCTGACTTCATAAGTGATGCGATCCGAAAGGGTCATCCAAGAGACATCATTGCACAGGTACCCAATGAAATCAGAGCAGTTGTGCGTAGCATGCTGGACGGAGACATGGCGGGGCGCTTCAAAACAAGAGCCGCATTTTTGAAGAAGTGGCTCAAACGGTCCCTTGAGTTGAAGGATGAGGAGCAAGCCTTGCACCGTAAGTTGCCTCTTCATCTGCAGCGTATTCTTGAAGGAAAGCGCCTTCTTCTCTGGCGTGAAATCCTGGTTGATTTGCAATACCCGGATGTTGCAGTGATTGATGATATGTGCAGTGGTTTCAAGCTGACAGGGTGGGCACCATCCACTGGTGTGTTCAGGCCGAACGTCAGGAGGCCGTCCCTTGGAATACAACAGTTGATCAACATGTCGAAAGGATTGAACGCGTCAGTGGTCAATTCTCTCCAAGGTGCCGCTCCTTCAGAACATGATCAGTTTGTTTGGGACGAGACTATGACGGAAGTTGACAAAGGATGGTTGTCTCCTAGCTCCCTGGAAGGGGAATGCTTTGTTGCAAAACGCTTTCCGGTACCTCAGAAAGACAAAGTGCGACTTGTGGATGACTTCACAATCTGTGGTGTGAACGGTGCCTACGGCCTCAGAGAGAAGCTTCGCGTCCAAGCGGTGGACGAACTCTGTGCTTACTTAGCATTCATGTTGGACCAGGCCCCTGAGGGATGCCTTCCAAAGCTCACTGGCCGCACTTACGATTTGAAGTCGGCGTACAAGCAGTTTGGAGTAGACCAGTGGCATGCCGACAGGCTTAAAATTGCTGTCAAGCGTCCTGGTGGAGGGGTTGGCATCTTTGCCGCATTGGCGCTGCCGTTTGGTGCCTCCGGTTCGGTGAGTTCATTCTTGCGTGTGGCAGCCAGCCTCACTTACATAGGAATAGTTGCTCTTCAAATCTTGTGGACAAGTTTTTTCGACGATTACACTTGTGTTTGTGTGGACGGAGAAGAGACCAACGTGTCTTTCTATGTCGAATCCCTCTTCCGCATGTTAGGAGTTTGGTTTGCAGAAACAGGCTCAAAGGCGACCTCCTTTGGGCCCTCCTTCAAGTCGCTTGGTGTAGTCTTCGATGTTGGTGCCATACATGACGGCACGTTCTCTTTGCAACATACTGAAAGCAGGAAGTCCGAGCTGGTGCAAATTCTTGACAGTTTGATAAGCGCGCAAATGTCGACGCCCAAAGAGCTTGAGAGATTGCATGGCAGGTTGATTTGGTTCAGTGCGTTTGTCTTTGGCAGGATGATGAATCAGCTTGTGAAAACCATATCCCTTGAGTCCTTGCAACGAAAGAAGGTGATCCACTTCACCTCAGAATTTCTCCAGACCTTGACAGACTTGAAACATGCGATAGGGTCCTCGAAGCCAGTCGTGATCTCAAAGACACTTTGTACCACTTGGTACGTCTTTACTGACGGTGCATATGAACCTGATTCAGACATTCTTGCCAGTATAGGTGCAGTCTTGATTTCACCGACGGGCACTCCAGTTCAGTGTTTTGGTGAAGTTGTCCCCAGAACTTTGGTGGACGAGCTGTTGCAGCATTCTTCTCATCCTATCTACGAACTGGAGGTGCTTCCGGTTGTGATGGCCACGAGACTTTGGATGAAATTTCTGATGGGGTGCCCCGCAGTATACTTTCTTGATAACGTTGCGGCCCGAGCAACGTACATCAAAGGTGTGGGCGCTACACCTTCCTCCATTATCATGCTCAAGGACTTTGTGCGTTTGGAGGCCAGGCTGAGAATTTACTCCTGGTTCGGTAGAGTGCCGAGTCATTCGGATGTAGCAGATTCTCCAAGCCGACTCGTCTTTGATGACCCAGTCCTGTCG